CAGTGACTGGTAAAAGCACTCCATATAGCTTGGTCAACCCATAACCTTACTGTGAAATACCCCTTTCCAAGAGGGACCTTCCAAGTGCGTTGAGTTTCCGACGACTTGCTCACCCCTGGGCGACAGCACGCCGGTCTGACGTTATGCAGCAGAGAGGCCCTGTGTCTGCAGAAAGATTTCAAGAAACTTGATGCTTCTAGTTTTTTTTTTTTTTCTCCATTTCTATTGAAGCAGGAGAAAAGTGGCCTACACAGAATACGTTTTTGGTCCTTCCGTGTGCTCCAGTCACGTGAGTCTCTTTCTACAGAGAGGACGTTCACAGAACCAGCACTTGATCTACCTTAAAACCATTAGACTTTTTGAAATATGCAGGAATCTAATTAGCTTTCTTTCTTGCTTTACTTTTCTTTTTGGAGGGGTTTAAAAAAATCCACCAAATTTTTCACTGAGGTTTTTTAAAAGCCAGCATGTTGGCGTTACGCAGAGAAAAGGAGAGAGGTAAGCTTCTTATCCTGTTCTCACGTTGAGATCTGCAACAGTTAACCAACAAACACGTTCTCCAGGCCATGCCCTTTCCCACTGACATCAATAACGTGAATGCAGAAAGCAGAGGAATAAAGGAAAGCAGCGACTACTTTGGGACTCAGCATGAAAAATCCATTTTTACTGGAGCATGCCAGAAGCAGTGGGGAAATAGAGATTGGTTTCAAGCTTCTGAATGTATAACGTGGAGATGGAAAGCTGAGTTCAGCCATCCATAGAGCTCCTCACATGAGCAGACGTGAAGAGTGAGGGCTCCTGCTCTGTTTCCTCCTGGACAATGCAGAGCTGTTTGAACGTTAACATTTTCTCCATTGCAGTCTCGGTTACTGTAGATGTAGAAATGCATTTCTGTCCTTGTAATGTGAAACACGGCTTCACTCTGTATAGGAAACCTGAGAAATCTGTAAGTCTAAAAGAAAGGTAGGTAAGGCATTTCCTGCCATGCTTTAATTTTGTCAGCTTTTGCTACAAAAGTTCCCCTGCTCAGTTTTTTATTTTCACTGTACAGTGGTCTACTGACGTGCATCCTTACCTGAAGCGTGGCTCAGCTGTGTCTTTAACACACACGTTTAAGAGAAAAACCCAGCTCTGCAAAATGAGGAAACGATCCTATTCACAGAGTATGTTCTGTTGCTGTGTGTCAGCTTCATTTAACCTGGCAATTCAAGGAGGGGTGGTGTGAAGGTTAGAGAGGTTTTTCTCATAATACCCACGTTTCCATTTACCACATGCACTTTTATTGCAGTCCAGCCAACTTTAGAGGTCTGCTCACACCCCAGACTTTTCAAGAGCACAACTTCAATGCTGCCTTCCCCAACCAAGTGGCAAGGATGTGGAGCCCCTTTGCTGGGGCGGGGTGGATTGGTTGGCTGCAGGCATTGCTTTGCTGCTCCACGTGGCAGCTGTGTGCACGGGGATGGGGTGCAGGTTGAGCAACCCTGACTTCATCATCACATCTTCCCGACAGTGGGCAGGGCACTTCCGAACAGAGACATCCGGAAGTAAAACACCATTGCTCCAGGGTGTTTCAGGGCTTGTTTTTGTCAGTGTTGAGTAGTCAGGTTGCAAAAAAGCTGTGCCCAGGTGTTTGTAGTTAAACAGAGTGAGGCATTGTGGCTCCTGATGGAGCTGCCAGGGTTGGTAGGATGGGATGGGATGCTCCCAAGGCCGTGGAGGACTTCACCGTGGTGCATTTTCCCTACACAGAAGCACCCAAGAGGTGCCTTGTGCCACAGTCCCAACATTAACACCAGCAAGGCAGTGTGCAGAGCGGGCTGTGGGAGCACTGCTGGCCGCTCGGGGTGCTGTGTGCTGGGCACCCCTGGGCACTGCCCTGCTGCCTGGGCACAGCCCCGTCACCTCCTGCGCTGGGGCTGCGTCAGGAAGTTCCCCGCATTGCTTCCTGTTGTGCTTGGCTTCCTCAGTGCAGGGTTGGGTTTGTTTTGAACAAAGCAATCAGTTTTGTGCCAGAGTAGAGGAGGACAGCTCAAAAAAGCAGATAGAAATTAAAATGAGCGTTAGCGACTACAGAGCCCTAAATGGCAAATTAATAAATAATGCCATTTGTATTTGATTAAATCTCCCTACTTCTAAACTACCGTTTCAGAGGAGCGGGGAACAAGAGTTGCCTCCGATGGTGCTGGCTGGGGTCTGACATGGTAAGGAAAGGTCCCATCTTTGGGTTGACTGGATGATCTTTTCCAGCCTTAGTGTTTCTCTGAGGGGCAGCTGGGGCTGAGAGTTGTGTAATGGACATTGTGGGTTTGGAAGGTCTTGCAACACTGGAAACATTAAGTCTGGTTGAAGCAACTGATCCCTACGTGCTGGGACGTGCCGTGCCAGGCACTTGTGTACTGTATTGTATTTAGGATGGGAAAGAGGCAGCACAGCAGCATGGGTGATTTTTCTGGGCTGTGCTGGTAAGTTTGAGATGTTCCTTTTAATATTAATCAGTATATTTAAAAAAAAAAAAAAAAAGCTTGATGAGCATCGTTGTTCTTGTTGTATGTGGTGGTGCTGTGTGTGGTCATTTCATAGACGTAAGGTAGATGGCAGTCTACCAAGAGCTGTAGTGTCAGTATCTTGGGAGATGATTTTCTAAGTTTCAAAAACAAAAGTGTTTTTTATCAGAAAGCATTAATTTTATGACTTCTACATACAAAAAAAAAAAGAGAACCCTTTTATGTTTCTCTAAGCAATCTAAACCCGCTACTCCACCATCCCTTCCCCTTTTCCACGTCTCCTGTTTTTGAAAGTTCTGCATGTTCCCATAAGACATTTGTAAAACTGAGGTTTGTTTGTGTTCTTAGAGGATAACTGCCAGTAAAAAACAGACTGTAAGTGTGCTTTTTACCTATAGTGCTAACATTAAATATTACATTTGAAGCATGTTAAAATTTACTTAATGCCACTCACGAGCACTCCCTACGTAAGCTCACGTGTTGGCGCCTGTTTGCGCTGCCCCATTGCTTCTAGGATGCTTGCCTTGGCATGTGAGGGCGATTTAGGAATAGCCAGATATCCTACATAAGCCAAAGAAAGACAAGTAGTTAAATATGTGTGTTTAGTACTCTCCTATGGGACTTCTGCACATCTGTTTTGTTTGGATGCGAAGGATGGGGTAGCAGGGCTGAGCTGACTTACAGTCTGTGCTTCCTGGAGGGCACACTGACTAAACTGTTAAAACACATCTCTGTTTTTGCTCCGCTAATAATCATCTGGTTTTACAACAAGGGAAGTTGCACGGCACAAAGGTGGGACTGCTGTGCTGCTCCCAGCCCTGAGCTCCCCATCATCCCAAGGTTGGCAGGCAGTGCTCTGCTCCTTATCACCCCTCGCTGCACATCCACGCGTGGCCTCATTTTCCAGCCCTAGCCATGCAGAAGAGCGTGTGCCATGCTGTGACAGCTTGCTTATGTGTTGTTATATTTAAAAATCTCATCGCTCCTTTTCCTTTTTTCTGCTGTAAGGGCAGAGCAGGGGAGGGCTGAGAGATGCTCCAAGCTACCTGCACTGGGGGAAAATCAGGAGAAAGTTGCTTGGAAATATCTTGGAAATAATCAAGGAAAGTGTGATGCCTGCTCTTGTTGGACTCACTTCCAAAACGGGCAGAGGGGGCTGCATGGGGTGGGGGCTGCTGCCCAGGGGCACGTTTGGCACAGCCAGCATGGAGCTGAGTGCTTGTGCTATGTGCTAAGGGCTGCCTGTTTGTTCTTTGTGCAGTAACGCCTGCGGTCTCCAGGTTTTAGAGATCCGTGGCATAAAGTGTTGCCCCCAAATAGCCCCCTAAAGCTTAATAACTAAGCGTTAATATTCCTGCAAAGCAAGAAGTGCGTACTGTTTTATTCAGAGCTGTTCAGAGTGATTTCACTGCAAAGCTGAGGTGTAACTGGGGGGTGGGGGGGTTCACAGCCCTAAAGCTCTGGGAGCACCTCCTTGTGGCCACAGCTCCATCTATGCACCGCATCCACCAGAAAGGGGCAGGGAAATCCGGGGCTGCCTTTGGGACTGGGGCATAACAGCAAGTGGGGAACAAAACTACAACCACCATTGGTGTGTGTGCAAAACAACAGCATGCTGGGCTGGTCGCTGCAGGGTGAGCGCTCGGCGCGTCGCTCCGGCCCTCGGGAGGCTCCCTTGGAACTCCCTGACCTATTTCGATGTAAGTATAACACTGTATTGTAGTTATGTGGTATATGCCAATATGTTAATAGTGTATACCTATTAGGGTTTGCTAACGTACTACATTTCAATAAAAAGCAATTTAAAAGAGCATGTTTTGTGAGCTTGGTGTCTTTAACTTCAGGAGGCTGAGAGCTCCCAGCGCTGTGCTCTGAGGGTTCTGTGGCACGCTGCTAAAAGGTCCCTTTCCAGAGCTTTTTTTTTTTTTTTTTTTCCTACTGTATAGAAAATATTGCTTTATTTTGCTGTAATCAGAGCCTGGAAGTCTCAGGCTGTTAGGCCAGTTCAAGCGGTCCATTAATATATAGGAAACAACAATGCATGTTCCGAGGTGTTGGCCACCTAAATGATGATAGAGAGCAAGCAGAAACTCTCTTCATTTCCCTTCTTTCCACCTGCTGCAGCCCACCCAGTGATCAGAATGAAGCCATGCCACCACGATGAGGACAAGGCCTTGACAGCTCGGCCAGCCCATACCCACTTCTATCATAGCGGTGCGCAAAAGCTCCAACCGGAATTAGAGCACTGCACCAACACAGAAGTTAAATCATCCCAGGGTTAAATGCAAATCAGAACACAGATAATCCGCGAGAGGGACTCGAACTCGTGATCTCCTCTCTCCGGAGCCGCGGCCCTGCCCGCGGCGCCACAGCGGCAGAACGGCGCCGCCCCGCTGCCGTGAGGGCGCCGGGCCGCCAGGGGGCGCTGTGGTCGCCGTGACCCTGCGGCGCGTCGCGGCCCGGCCGCTTCCCCTGCGCCGCCCTCCGCCGTGCGGCCGGGCCGAGCCGAGCCGGGCCGAACCGCCGGGTCGGCCCCGGGGCCCGCCGCGATGTGGCTGGGGCCCGAGGAGGTGCTGCTGGCCGGCGCGCTGTGGGTGACGGAGCGGGCCAACCCCTTCTTCTTGCTCCAGCGCCGGCGGGGACACGGCAAAGGGGGCGGCCTGACGGGTGAGCCGCGGCGGGGACGGCGCTGCGGGAGCGGGGCGCCGACGGGCGGGGTGCGGGGTGCGGGATCCGGCCTGACCGCGCCACGAGCCTTGCGGCCGGGCGGCCTCCAGTCGGGACCGGCAGCGCCGTGCGGGTGGCTCGGCTCACCGAGCGGCTGGGTTTCCGTCTCCCGCCCCCCCCCAGGGATGCGCCAGTAGATGGGTGCTGAATTGCCCGGGTTTTGTGGCAGGGAGGAGCGAGCCCTGCTGCTGCTGCGAGCTTTCCGCTCGGCTCGGGCTGCTGCGGAGCTCCTCCGTGCCGACGGCCGCCCCTCCGACAGCGCGGCACGGCCGGGGGCTCGGCGCGGCTCACAGCTGGGGGCGTCGCGTTGCGCTCGGGTTCATGAGCGTGGCTTTGTGTGTCAGTGTGTTATGGGGAGTGTGCAAAACCAGCCCTTAATCCTGTACCTACAACCACACAGAAGAAGCCTGAGATCCAGAGCTGAGATCCTGCCGAGATCCAGAGCTGAGATCCTGCCGAGATCCAGAGCTGAGATCCCGCCGAGCTGGATGCATCCATATTTGCTTTAAGGATTTCCCAACTCTGCGCGGATGCTCATCTGAAATATTTGATCTAACTAATAAACGGGCAGTTGAGATAAATGGATTTGCTTACAGATGCTAACGGTGGTCAGCATTTTGTTCTGAGAGTGCCTGCTTGTATGTAACGCGATTTGAAAAGTTTCCAAATTTGGGTTTTCTTCCTGCTCTCTTTGTTTAACTGAAGCACTTGCAGGAGTGTCACAGCTTCTCCAGAACTGGTTGAGTCCCTTTTGGTTGCGTTATCTTCCATTCTGTATGCATAGATGGTGCTGAAAGATAACAGCATTGAAAGCTCCTGTATTTAGCTTGGACTCTTAAAATCACTGTAAGTAACAGAAGCATGGAGATCCCATAGGCTTCACATTCTTCTTCAGTCATTTGAATACAGTGGTGAAAGTCCTTAAGAGATGTATGGAGTGTTGTCTGTGGTGGGGACAAAGCTCTGTTCTATATTTTTCGGACAATGTTATTGTGAAGACATCCCACTTTAACTGCCTCCCCAGTATCTCCAGATGCCATGGAGAAAAATGCATTTGCTTCTGCTATGGAACTCTCCTAGGAAGGCAGAGGATCATAATGAGCTGTAGTGGCCGTTTAATTGCCATCTAAATGTCAGCCATTAGCAGTGGGATTGCCTGTAGGTGGTTCAGAGGTAATTTCCATGCAGTGACTGGATTTACGTCTTGGTTTCCTTGACCAAGTACCAGTGCTGATTCTTGTTTGTTATGTAGTTATAATGCACAGGGGTGTGTAGTAATACTGGGTTTTTTGTTTGTTTTATTGTAATAAGAGTGCTGAATTTTTGCTTAACCGAGTAATAGCTTTGATATTATTTTACTTTAATTTCTGTATCTCTGCTTTCCAGGTCTCCTTGTGGGAACATTAGACGTAGTTTTGGATTCCAGTGCTAGAGTTGCCCCATACCGTATCCTGCACCAGACCCAGGACTCTCAGGTGTACTGGGCAGTGGCATGTGGTACGTCCTGACAGCCATCTCCTATTATCCAAAGTCATTCATGCTTCAAAAACAATGTCAAATGGCTGGACTAGACATTAAGTGAACTTACAAAAAGCAATTTATATCCATATTTGTTATTAAATCCACTGACCTGTACTGCAGAAGCCCTGCAGTCCTTTGAGACTTCAGGTCCTGGAGTTATTTTTGCTTATGAAACCACATGTTAGCTGGGGTTGTGTTTTGTGGTTGGTATCCAACTCCAAATAGACAAGACTGTTTTTTTGCTGAAGCTGCCTCTTAAAAAGTCAGGTAGACCATAGCTGTAGGGAACTGTTTGTGTTTCTTGCTCTTTGCTTCATTCCATCATTGAATAAGTCTTTTAGGAAATGCAGATCTCTGAAACAATTAAAGGAATGAAACATGTTAATGAAAGCAAATTTTCACAGCAGAGTTCCTTAAATCACTGATTACACATTGAAGCTTATCCATTGTGAAGCTTGAGGGCTGTATGATTAAATACAACTAATGTCTGATACAAGTTTCACTGAGACTTTGTTTTGTAAGAAAGCAAAGGACATAGCATCTGACACTAGCATACTTGGGTTGCTTTTTTTGTTTTGTATGTTCTGTGCTGACAGTTGTCCATGCAAAATGCAGCTTCTTTCTATGTATAAAAACTTAGATTACTCAGAATTTTTAAGTTTCTTCTGAAAGTTTATTAGTTTTCTTTTAGAATATCAGGAATTAAAGAAGTACTTCTTGTCTGGAGCATTGGAATGCTTTATTCTGGAGGGAAAAAAAAAACAAAAAAACTGCTCTGCACTGGTAAATGGACTGATGTCTTGGTGTGCTTATTATCCTCAATGGCAATGGAAACATTTCATTAGAAACATAATGTAGGTGTGTATGAAATATCCTTGATGTGTAGTCAGTCGATGTGTTTCACATCTGATTGCTGTTTGGTATTTATTAGTTTCCTGCTATAAACTTGGAGAAAAACAGGAGCTTGTTCTAGTGTTTTTTTCTTTGTTCTTCCCTTTGTCTTTCACTCCATCAATTAGGATCATCTCGTAAGGAGATCACAAAGCACTGGGAATGGCTGGAGAATAACTTACTGCAGACTCTGTCCATCTTTGATAATGAAGAAGATATCACCACCTTTGTCAAGGGCAAGATACATGTAAGGAGTGTGCTTTCCTGAAAGACTTCAGAGCCTGATAAAGAATGGGGAGGTGGTACTGAGAATTGTTTTTACAATTGGGTTGGGAGTAGTGAGAGCTCCATTGCAGAGCTTCTCTCTGCTCCCTCTTCAGACATGCACACATTTGGAAGTACCATGAAATGCATACAGTGTTGTCAGGATGACTTTATGGCTGTAACACCAGACAAACATTTTTGGAGGGGTAGAGGGGAGGAGGTTAGGAGCAATCGATCTCAAGGCACAGCCTGCTTAGGATGGTAACTAACTGAAATCTAGTGTCTCAATATAATCCTTGCAGGTTAGACCTTTGACATGAGGGTTAAACTGAGGCTGATCTATCAACAAATCTGGGGGAGAGAATTCTAGTTTGCAAGCAGTGTGCTCACACTCCTGTAATAGTGTAGCTGTAAAGGAACTGTGCCCTAACTTCCACTGATTTCATATTCAACAAGTGCCTCTGCTTGTTGTGCACATAATACACTTCAGATTCCCAGCCTGTACATTTTCCAGAGTAAAAGCTCACACATGCAGGTTTTTTATTGAACAGCAGCAATTTGAGGCTCTTCCAGTACTTCTATCACATTCTCTATTTGCTGTGTGTCTGTGTGAGAGAGATTGTGGTTATTTGTTCTTCCTTCTGGCCAGTCATGGTCTGACTGCCTGCAGAGTTCTGCCCTTCCTGGCAGATGATCTTCCTGTTGTCACACTCACAAGTGAAAATAGACTTCAGTTCTGCTGCTGGGCATTCTAAGTGTTACCTGACCAGCTGTGAGAAATTCAGTCAGATGTTAAACATGAACATTAGCTGCATGTGTTTAGAAGTAAATCAGCTTATAGGCTCCCAGCAGACTATCTGCTCATTCTACATGTCTTTGCTATTACTCTGACTTGACGGGAGAAATGATAACTGCTGTGTCACATTTCTTCTTTCTGTCTTCTGGATGGCTGCCATCACCTTTCAGTGTATATTATATCTGTCAGCAGGCATTCCCTTTCATTTCTCATCTCTGTGCCTCTATTCCCACGTCCTTTAGGGAATTATAGCTGAAGAGAACAAGAACCAGCAGCCTCAGAGTGAAGAGGATCCAGGTAAATTCAAAGAGGCTGAACTGAAGATGCGGAAGCAGTTTGGGATGCCAGAGGTGGAGAAGTTGGTCAATTACTATTCTTGCAGCTATTGGAAAGGACGTGTACCCAGGCAGGGCTGGCTGTACCTCACTGTCAATCACCTCTGTTTCTATTCCTTCCTTCTGGGCAAAGAGGGTGAGTTTTATACTTGTCTTTTTCTGCAATTTCCCATGATCTTTTTGATTTGGTCGATCTTTTATGTGGGTTTTTTTTGTTTGGTTTTTTTTTTAGCTGATGGGATTTTTTCTTTTTATGAATGTTTTGAGCTCTGGCTCAACATGTAGTTCAGTTCTTTCTCTCAGAAGCACTTAGTGAAGTTTAAAATGCCTGAGTCTTTTTTCAACACATGCCTTAGGTTCTCAGGTTGCACACCTGGGCTTTTACTTCTGCTGAATTAAAGAACCAAGCAGTATTTTGACTTTGATGAGTTTTGCTTGGAACCACCACCTAGTATTTACAGAGCTTGATCTCCAGAATCCAGAATTAACTTGCTGGAAAGAAAGAATGAAAGCATTAGTAATTGTAATTGAAAACATTTGCTGGATGGAAGAGAGACCTTTTGGAACTGTATTATTTCTAGTTGCTCCCAAAAGTTACTTCCAAGTATTTTTGGAGAAATCAGTAAAAGCATAAAGAAAGGATTTGCCTATGTGTAAGGGGAGAAGAGTACCACTCATGAAGAGCACATTTGCTGTTTGAGCTTCATTCATTATTTTTTTTTGTCTCAAATTGTAATAATGGCTGTTTGTGACTTTTTTCCTCCAGTGACGCTGGTGATTCAGTGGGTGGATGTAACTCAGCTAGAAAAAAATGCTACACTGCTGTTCCCTGAGTGCATTAAAGTCAGCACAAGGGACAGTGAGCTTTATTTTTCCATGTTTCTTAACATCAATGAGACCTTCAAGTTGATGGAGCAGCTGGCTAACATCGCTATGCGGCAGCTGCTGGATAATGAGAGCTTCCTGCAGGACAAGTCCCTCCCGAAGCCCAGGAAGCCTCTGAAGAACATCTCTGCACTAAAAAGGTGTGTGTTTTCAGCAAGGAGAAGACAGAGAAACAGGAATTGTAGTAAGAAATCTGCCTTACTACATACCTTCAAGGTGCCCCTGGATTCTTCTCACACTAGGGGCTGCATCACTTATTTCAGTCATTAGCTCTCTACCCAGTGTTGTTTTTCCATCCCAAGTTGATATTTAATTCGCATAAGCCCTCACGTCTTTCTCATGCATGAAGATATAGACAAGGAATTCTTAGAATGAATTTTCAACTAGAAACTATTGAAAATTCTTTTCTTTGCAGTTTCAGAATCCAGTGTAACATTTAAGTTTCTCAGATTTCTGTTCCAAGATGCGCTTGCATTGCTTGTATTGCAGGACATACCTTGTCAGTGAAGCATGCCTGAAGGCTGAAAGAGAAGTCAGATAAGAGGTGGCATCTCAGTTAGAGAAGTGAATAGTAAGAATTAAAGCACAGGCTGGAATTTATGATTGGAATGAATGCTTACATTGGTGTTTGAGTATTTTTTTCAAGTAAGAAAAAAGCTCTGAGGACTGCTCTTTACTTTTCCCCAGAGATCTTGATGCTCGAGCCAAAAATGAATGCTACCGTGCCACTTTCCGACTGCCCAAGGATGAATGCCTGGATGGACACACAGACTGCACCTTGTGGACACCATTCAACAAGATGCACATTCCTGGTCAGATGTTTGTTTCCAACAATTACATCTGCTTTGCCAGCAAGGCAGAGGAGGCCTGTCATCTCATCATTCCTCTCAGGGAGGTGGGGATTAGCTGTAATTAAGACTACAGGCTTATCTTATCTTTCATATGCTTCTAGCTGTTGTAGTGCTTGGCAGCTAATGGAGAATCTGCTAGATTCAAATGGCCCTTGTCTTTGTCTTCTAGGTGACAATAGTTGAGAAGGCAGATAGCTCCAGCGTCTTGCCCAGCCCTCTGTCCATCAGCACTAAAAGTAAAATGACCTTCTTCTTTGCCAATCTGAAGGACCGAGATTTCTTGGTGCAGAGAATCTCTGACTTCTTGCAGAGAACACCATCCAAGAAACCACTCATCAGCGACAGGGAATGGAAGTGGAATTTGGGTGATCCTGGATGTGAGGTACTAAGGAAGTAGATGGGAGGAGCGTTTGCCCATCTTTCAAAGTAATCCTCCTTACATTGTGCTACAGCGCTCCTAGCAGCAAAGCATTTCCTTTTATTGGCCCATGAGCAGAGGAGAGAGGCTGCCTCAGCTCACATGCTTTGTTGCTCATTTCTCAATTGCTTTGCTGTTTTGCTCTAGAGGCTAATTTACATAATCAGATCACTGCTTAGGTTTACCTACTGTCTTGAGCAGACTCAATCGTGTTGAATCATTTTCCCATAGGCTCACTGCTATTAATAGCATAAGCTGTCTTGAAATTGAGTGAGAGGTTGGAATACTGGCATAGTTCTTGATGGATGTTTAAGAAATACAGAAAAGTCAGAACAGTTGTCACCTCTTCTCTGCCAGCTCTGTCTCCAGTCTGGCAGATATGCCATGTTTGGCCAACTTTACAACTGTAGAAATACGTTTTGTTGTGTTTTTTTTTTAATCACAGTAAGTGTTTTTATTTTCCAGGAAGTTCCGGAGTTGCCTTCCAGCAGCCCTCTTGCAGTTAGCCCCACATCTGCTCTCAACAATCGACCTGTCAACTTCTGTGCTGGTGAAGTGCCAACAGCATCCCAGGGACTGCTCAAACTTTTCAGAAGAAATTCTGAGGAGCTTTTGGGACCCAAAGGGGTAAATTATATTTTAACTTAAAGCAATTAACTATGAATAATTTGTAGTAGGCAGCAGATTTCCTGTCTTGCTCTGAGAGTCTGTAAGTGCATTTTCTCCCTAGTTTCTGTCACCTTTGCAGTATCACTGTCACCATGATAGTGCTGTGTAGATGTAACCTGACCATCAGCTCACTGTATCAGTATAGAGATACATGAGTAGGGGCTGAGCAATTTGTGTTACTGTGCTTCTGAGATGCAGTTGCTATCTGTGAAGAACATTTCTTCATATCAAAGTAGCAGAGAATATCTGGTATCTCTGCTTCCTGGGCAGTCATCTTAGACCATGGTTCTGCTTGCATCTGTGTAAATGTAATGCCACTGCACAGCCCATGTTACCATTGTAACAGATTCAGAACAGCATAGATTAGCATACAGCCTTTTTATTCAGCAGGAAGAATTAAACCTTTAAATGTCACAGTGCATTTCTTTTGTGAAGTGTAGGTTTGAGTACCCAGAAATCACCTGTCCTACAAGCATAAAAACGCTTTAATCTCCTAAAATGGCCATATTTATTCCTGTGAAGGCAAAGGAGAAGATGAAGGAAGAGTCTTGGAACATTCATTTCTTTGAATATGGGAGAGGGATGTGTATGTATCGTACTACCAAGACTAGGGAGCTGGTGCAGAAAGGAATCCCAGAGAATCTTCGTGGAGAACTGTGGCTCCTTTTCTCAGGTAGGAAGTTGTGCAGGATGATTTGGCAGCTTGCAGAAATAAGTTTTTTGCATGTCTCAGAGGAAAAGGTATAAATCACAGCTTGTTTCGGAAGAAATAAATCACGAGCAAACTCCACATGAATTATACTTTGTGATGTTATTGGACAAAAATGCAATGATTGCATTCCTGACATGACTTTATGAGTATAGTAGCTCTTTCATTGCCTTCGTGTGGATTTCAGTGTTGGGACCTACACTCCACCAGGTTTATTGCTATACTTCAGTATCTGTTTGCAGTTATTGAGTTGATGTAATGCTTCCCAGATGCCTCTTCTCTGGGCATAAAATCTCTATTTTAAAGCTCAAGAAGTGAAGCAGTGTTTGTTTGTCATTACAGGGGCTTGGAATGAGATGGTCACTCATCCTGGTTACTATGCAGATCTTGTGGAAAAGTCAATGGGAAAGTACAATCTTGCTACAGAAGAGATTGAGAGAGATCTGCACCGTTCTATGCCAGAACATCCTGCCTTCCAGAATGAGTTGGGAATTGCTGCTCTCCGGAGAGTCTTAACAGCTTATGCATTCAGGAATCCAACAATTGGATACTGTCAGGTAAGAAAGAATTCTTAGCCTTGTTAGCCCTACATGGTGACCATGACTGTACTAGAGCTTTTCAGCAATACTTCTTTCAATTTCATGCTTTTCCTTCATGCTGAAATAAATGGTGGTGTTATAAGGATCTCTTATGTACATAGACTTTGCACATTTCTGTTAAGTGTAGTGACAAATTCTTTTAGCAGTTTTCCTGCTAGAGCTTTCCCTAGTTTGAGAAAAACATCTCCTGGTTTCCCTGAAATGAACAAGTAAATGAAGTAAATGATGATGCATGTATTGCAATATATCACAAATGAAAGTAGTTGCTGGTTAGTGAAACAACTTGGTAGAAATTAATTTCATATTGTGTATTGCTCTGCAGTCAGAGGTCTTACTCTGTCACTCTGTTATAATCAAAGCTTTTTCTGCAAACTTGGAAAAACCTATTTATCACATAAATTAAGTGCCTGACAAAGAGTAGTTATATTATCTGCTGCCTCACAAACAGAGGAACTGAAACAGGAAGATAAATTGGCTCAAGGTCACCTAGTGACTCAGATACCAGTAAAAGCTGGAAATAGATCTGACTCTCAGTCCCATGAGACTGCTCTGCTAGAATCATGCTTTTTAAGTTCAGCTGATCCGTAATGACAGAGTTTTTGTGAACATCTTCACGTTTCTCTCTCTCTCTGCATATTTAATGCTGCTGAAACATAGGCGATGAACATTGTTACATCAGTGCTGCTGTTATACTGCAATGAGGAAGAGGCTTTCTGGCTCCTAGTGGCTTTATGTGAGCGGATGTTGCCAGATTACTACAACACAAGAGTAGTGGGTGAGTCTCTGTCAAATTCATGCTGGAGCTTGGATTTTCAGCTCAGTTCCATCAGCATCTCAGTAATATTTTGTTTCCTCAGAATTAATTAAATGTGGTGCATTTTAAAGATAACGAAGGACAGGCTTCTTCCCTTTTAAATTGTGTGTGTAAATGGAAGCACAGGACGAGATACTGTACACTACTACTGAACAAAGAAGATGGAGTCAGGAATAACCTCCATCTATGTATGTGGAGCTTATTGAGAATAGGGTAACAAATATATTCATTTCTGTTTAGTTTAAGAAGCTGAAATTAAAGTGAACTCACACTGATTTGCTTAATAATTAATTAGCTCAGTTATAGTATCATGAGACCAACAAATTTGAGTCCTGCCATTGTTCTTGTTTCTTTTCCCAGGTGCATTGGTGGACCAGGGCATCTTTGAAGAACTTACACGAGAGTATCTTCCACAACTGTCAGAAAAGATGCAGGAGCTGGGAGTGATTTCCACCATATCCCTTTCTTGGTTTCTCACACTCTTCCTCAGTGTCATGCCCTTTGAAAGTGCTGTTGTCATTGTTGACTGTTTTTTCTATGAGGGCATCAAGTTTATCTTGCAGGTGTCATTGGCCATTCTTGATGCCAACGTGGAGAAGTTGTTACAGTGCTGTGATGAAGGTGAAGCAATGACTATTCTGGGCAGGTACCATTCTTCTTATTTACAAATGAATAGTGATAGTACCCCTTTTAGTTATCATTCCTTTCTGTCAGATAAGAGAGACTCTTTTGTCATTCCCCTGAATTCCATTACGTAGGAGGTCACAGATACCAGATTAGGATGAAACTTGAACACTAGAGAGGATTGCTGTTGATTTCTGTGGCAGCTGAAACAAATTTTTGGCTCAGTATGGAGGAATCCAGAGTTGTTTGCTTTGTGGCATACTGCATTCCTGTTTCTCAGTTTGAATTCGAACTCCATGAGGTTACTTACCCAAAATACACAGAAGAATTCTAATCCATTATTAAGAACAAGTCCTGGCAGGAGTAGCCCTCTAGTAACGTAAAACCTTATCAAGCAGATATTTCCCAATTATAGTAAATAAAATATTTGCTTGCTTCAAAAGTGAATCTATCCTATGTTCTGCAAGATCTTCAGTGTACCTCTGGGAGCCTACTTTTGAAAAGAATAGATATCTCAAAATTAAAATGAAAATCACCTCTACATGGGAGATGTTGAGGATAGTGTTGTAAGATGTTGGGAATTTTTTTCCTAAATGTTTAGATTAAAAATACAAAGGAGTAGGGAGTTATGTGTTTAGGATATTACTGCTTTTCCTTTCTTGACATTAATCCAGGAGTCTTGCATCTGCTCTGTGTGGGTGTTTTTTTTTCTCCACAGGTATTTGGACAACGTGGTTAACAGGCAGAGTGTCTCACCTCCTATTCCACACCTGCATGCCTTATTGACAAGTGGGGATGACCCACCACTTGAAATTGACATCTTTGACCTCATCAAAACATCCTATGAGGTCAGGTTCTGGCTTAGTTTTTACCCAACTGATTTTTCTCTTCTAATAATCCCCCTTTATGGTTATCCAGATGGAACTTGAACTGCATTATTGGCTTGAGGTGCCCAAGGAGTGCAGGCTCAAGCCATTCATCCTCCTGTTTGGAATAAATAAAGCCTAACTTTCAGCTAATGTGAATTCCAAATAGTCTCTCCAGTGTCAGTAGAGACTGGTGAAAATCATGTCCTTTGTTTCTCTTTTAAAAGAATGTTACAAATTCATTTTACTTGGCTGACATAATCGGTGGAAAAGCTTATTAACTGTGCTGTTTCTAGCTGAATCTCATATGGGTCCTACAATGAAATGGGGCTGGAAGGAATGACAAGCTGTATAGTTTCTTCTCTGCGCCACTCTACAGGATCTGTAGTTGTGTCCTGATAGATGCCTTTCCAGCTGATCTTTAGAAACCTCTGTTGATGGATTTCTCATGAATTCTAAAAGACTTATTTTTTGGGACAGGGGTTAATAGAGAGAAAGATTTTTTTTTTTCACCTACTTGATGCTGGTAGAAGTATTTGTAGGGTTTTTAGATTGTCTTCGGAGGGACAGTAGGGTTTGTAAAAAGCATGTGATTGAACAGGCATAATTCATTCTTCAGGATATTTTGCTGACCCAGTCTCTTCTTTTCTCATAGAAATTTAGCAACTTGAAGGCAGATGATATTGAACAAATGCGTTTTAAACAAAGGCTGAAGGTGATCCAGTCTCTGGAGGATACAGCCAAGAAGAGTGTGGTATGTGATTCCCAGATTAAAGGAGCTACAAAATGGCATTTAGAAAGCATGCTAACATGTTTGGGAGTTTTACAGAAGGGTTCATGACTAAAAAGGAGCATCCACATCTATTGCAACTATCTCCCATGTTCCAGGTGGAAAATTTCATCTGTTTCTTTCACTGTTGTTTTTTGTTCAACTGAATCTGATAAAAACAAAAGGAAGGGACAGCACATTGTTCTGTGGGCTGCAGAAACAGGAAGTTATAACAGTAGTTTTTTACTAACTGCTCAAATATCAGCAGTTTTTGCTTGACTAGAAGCTGTCTTCCTGACCTGTAATCCTTAGCAATGTGAAGTATTGGAGCAGTTATGTTTTCTCTCCTCTCCTTTGTCATATTTCTTGCAAATCTTTTCTTAGCTTATATGTTCACAGATCTTTCGATGAGTCATGTTTAATTTGGGTAGGTTTGAAAGAAATTACTCTTTCTGTTTTCCCCTTAACTAGGTCCGGGCTGTGTCTGGTGATATTGGTTTCTCTATTGAAGAACTAGAAGAGCTATATGTAGTGTTTAAGGTAAGAAGCAAATATGGGATTCTGTTCTTGTGGTGCTGCTGAGACTGGCTCTATTACTGAACAATTTTTTTTTTTGTAAAGATGGTCAGACCTCATTCACAGTGTTTGAATTATGCTCATACAGAGAAAGGGTTTAGAGACAATGGAAAGAAATGACACATAATACTTAGAATGTGGAACTAGGATTGACTTGTACTTCAGTTTTTATTTTCAAGTTTGCCATGAACCTGCTCTGTAATTGTAACACAATTACTTAAGTGCTATGCCTTTATTTCTCATTGAAGGTGTTGTTAAATACACCCAGGTGCAATTCCCAAAGTCACTCAAGCTCAATCACACTATGCTCACTTGCATGCAAGCTCAATTGCATGATGCTATAGACTCAGGGAGGCCAGAGTTCTAAAATCTGCATGCTCTCCTTGCATAAAGCATGAGATTCATTTTACTCAAACAAAAAACAAACTTTTTTTTTTGTATTTTTCACTTGTTCTTTGTTTTTTAGTGAAATCTGTGTCTCTTCCTCCATTTCGTACTTATTTGTAGTGAAGTAATGCTCATAATAATGGGCAAGATAACAGCGTGTCCTGAAATGTCCCTTCTCATTTGGTGCTGTTTTTGGGCTATATGAAAGACTCCACTCTATTGGCTTGTTGTAGTATAATATAACCTGACTTATTTCCCTCCAAAGGCAAAGTACCTGATGAGCTGCTACTGGGGAAATAATCGTGCTGCAGCTGCCCGCCGAGATCAGAGCCTGCCTTACCTGGAGCAGTATCGCATAGACATGGAGCAGTTCAAAGAGCTCTTCATCACTTTGACCCCCTGGTCCTGTGGTGCACACACCCCTGTGCTAGCAGGGCGCCTCTTCCGGCTTCTGGATGAGAACAGGGATTCTCTCATTAACTTCAAGGAGTTTGTGACAGGGATGAGTAAGTGGTATTTCTGGAGATGATATATTACAAAAAATGTTTCTGTCATCTTCCAAGCAGAAGACTAAAAGGAGATGCTGATGATTGAACTGTTATGAAGGGAGGGTGGCAGCCTTACAGGATTTAGTTCTTCAGGCAGAACTAAAGATGCATTTTTGCTGCTGGACAGTCTCTCATTTTGGGAAACAGTAGGTGGTAAACCTACAAGATGAAACTTTGCTGCTGTGGATTTCTTTGTGGCTTCTGCAGAGGGCTTTGTACAGTTTAGCAGTTCCTCACTACATGGAAACTTACTTTGTTTTGAGCTTGTGTGTAGAGAGTGATTCTTATTCCTGAATGCTGTTTTTCTTATGCCTCTGTTTTTGTGGGTTTTTTTTCACTTGCAGGTGGGATGTACCATGGCGACCTCACTGACAAGCTCAAAGTACTTTACAAACTGCATCTGCCTCCTGGTGAGTGATTGCTTGCATAAGCTGCTACTGGTGAGCATGGTGTGTTCTGACACGCAACTGAAAAGAGATGTCTCATAAGTTTTGCTAACAAAATGGATAATACTATTGTTCAGTTACCTTAGAGATCTTAACATTTCTTTTTCTGTAAGCACAGCTCTGAATCCAGAGGAGACGGAGTCTGCTTTGGAGGCCACAAGTTATTTCACAGAGGATGTTACGACAGAAGGTAATACAATGCTTGCTGTCCTTACCTCTCAGTTTAGACAGGAATCCAAGCACAAATCTATGTGCTGTGACTGGTGATTTTTGCAAGGCATGGTCTCACAATGGCAATATGTTAAGATTATAATGTGTTCAAGTTGACTGTTGTTATTGCCTGATAGGAAAGAAGTTTTGAGCTTAAACTGCTCAGCACTCATGTCATGCAGGACATGGCTCTGAAGCACAATTGTATGCTATGCTGCTGAAGAGGAGCAGTGTGCTCTTGCCAGTTCCTGTCTTTCACCTCAACTTGGGTTTTTCATGCAAGTCTCATTGTCTCTCTTCTTGTTTTTGTTTCCTTCTGTCTGTCTCTGTGTGGCCTTTTCTTCTGTTTTATCTGGGATATTTTCTCCTCAACCCCTCTTACTGCTGCTCCAGTATCTCCTTTTGTCTCAGAGCTGGATTTCTGCCTGCACTGTGAGTCTCAAGGTCAGTCCTTGGATTATGTGGACATACTGAGCCCGGTTATATGGCTGATATTATCTACCGGCACCAACATGCTATTTTAAATACTCAAGTTGATGCTTCTCCTCTCTTGTGGCAGTTCAACTATGTTTTTATTATTGTGTTTCAACCTTAGAAAAAATAGGAACTATTTAATGGGAAATCAAAGTACGTTTTTTGCTTAATATTTACAAAAATACAGTAATGCTAAAAAAAAAAAAAGAAAAAAAAAAAGGAGTAGTTGCACTGTTTGGTGCTAGGTGGCCATCTGAACACTGAACTAAGACAGGACTTCCTATTTAGTCTAGCAGCAATATAGGGAAGTAGAAGTGCAATCCATAAAGTTAGACTCTGCACATCACTCTCAAAATGTCTGCTCAGTCAATGAGTAATTGCCAGTACAGATAATAGTCACTTATCCTATATGCTCAGTATTGTTGTTTTTTTCCATTCATCATCTTGCTTTGAACTTGCTGTGAACTTCTTTGTTTTTAAGCCATGGTATTAGTAGTTGTATTTCATGTTTGTTTCACCATTTCTTTTAGAGTTCCACCCTCTACCTCACCTCTTCACCACTTCTTTGGTGTGGCTTCTCTTTTTCCTGTTTATTCCATCACCTTTTGTTTCTGTCCTGTTCTGTTCACTCCTCCAACCATGAAGTGGGAGTGTGAGATATATTAAATATATTTGTCCATAATTGTAATTTGGATATGAATTGTCTTATGTTCTTCATGTGCTGTGTTCCTGAAAGTCAGATGTTAATGACTATTTTTATAATTTCATTGTTTTTAGAAACCCAAGAAGAGAAAGGAAGGAGAAATGACAGTGGTCAAGAAAAAGGTAATTTCATTATAAATAGACCACATTCCAGTCTTGTCTCTTTAACATTAGCAATCTCATTATCCTGTGTTGTGTCAAGGAGACCTTTCAAAGAGTCCCTCATGGACACTGGTAAAGTAGGACATGAGCTGCAAAATAGCTCTCTCGTGCCGTACTGCATGAGTGCATTAATGTACCAAAGTCATAACATTTGAAAATCAAATTGGTAAGTTATTGACTAATAGAATTCATTTATTAGAAGTCAAGCTAATTCAGTAGTGGTAAAGTTTTTGCTCTACTGAACTTTATCAGATATACCAGCAGGAAACAGTGCAGCCTCCAGCCGTCCAAATGCTAGATGCTTTCCTGAACAGACAATAAAACCTGCTTCTAATGTGATCTTTGCTGCCATGGTGCTCACGTGAAATCTGAAACTTTAACCACCAGGCTTGGTCATGTTTTGCAGAGGAGAAAGGTACCAGCCCACAGGACTATAGATACTACCTAAGAATGTGGGCCAAGGAAAAAGAGTCCAAGAAGGAAACTATTAAAGATCTCCCCAAAATGAGTCAGGTAAGAAGTGAATCTGAAGGTTTCCAGTTAGGTGACTAACAGCTTGTTGAAGAACTGTGACAGTCATTTTGCTAGTGTGTTCAGTCCATGCAGTAGGTTGCTCTGCTATTCTGGTGTAGTAATATGTAGAAGCTCCTAATTCTACATGCTTGTGTTGAATTCTTTAGATGGGCTTGCAGCAGGCTGACAAACTGCTTTCTTTCCTCTAGTCAAATGTTTGATTCTATGCCTCCCAGATCATCTTTTCCTGTAAGACCTTTGTTTTCCCTCCACAGCAATATGTTTGAAGTGAACCATCAGTCATATAAGCTGGCTTGGCTATTCTGTTTTTTGCATTGCCTCAACTTGAGGCTGCTTGGTGGAGAGCAAAGAATGTGGTTACAGGAAAGAGTCTTATGACTAATGTGATCTTTTCTTTCTCTTAATTTCCTTTATGGGTGCTTTTTATACCACTGTGGAAGTATGTAGAAGCTGGCTACAGAAGAGTAGCAGGACAGAAGTAAGACCTCAGGTTTTCTCAGGAGTGAATGTTAGCATACTATCCACCTGTTAGCAAAAGTACTGTCACTATTAAGTTCCTAGCTGTGTTTCAATTTAGCTTCTATAGCATAGAGTGGAGTTTGCCTAATTTGGGATTGTTCTGAATCAGTAAAGTAAGTTGCCACTTCGTATGGAAGCAAATAAAGTAGGAGTCAGTCAATATGGAACCTGTTGTTTCATCTACTGCTGTCAATTTTTGCAGCCTTGAATTTGATTTTGGTCTTTGTCTTTGAAAGGAACAATTCATAGAGTTATGCAAGACCCTTTACAACATGTTCAGTGAGGATCCAGTAGAGCAAGAGCTGTACCATGCTATTGCCACTGTCGCCAGCCTCCTTCTGCGAATTGGGGAGGTTGGGAAAAAGTTCTCCAACAGACCCATAAGGAAGTCTGAGGACTGCAAAACAAACAGTAGCCAAGATCCCGTGAGTGAAGAGGAGTCGCCTACATCTGAACAGAGTCAGAACTCAACAGTGGAGCAGCAGCCCCGAGTTGACCATGAAGACAAAACCTGCAGAGATGTTCAGCCTGAAAAAACTGAGCAGGAGAACCAAACTCTAGGAGATGGTTCAGGGGAAGGACAAGGCTCTCCTTTACAGCTGCTATCAGATGATGAAACCAAAGACGATATGTCCATGTCTTCCTACTCCATGGTCAGCACAGGCTCCTTGCAGTGTGAAGACATTGCAGATGACACGGTCCTAGTTGGCTGTGAAGGTGGTAGTTCAGCTGCCAGGTACGGCAGTACCATTGATACTGACTGGTCTATTTCCTTTGAGCAGATCTTGGCTTCCATGCTGACTGAGACAGCTCTTGTAAACTATTTTGAGAAAAAAGTCAACATTCTCCAAAAGATCAAAGATCAGAAGAAGGTAGAGAGGCAGTTCAGTTCATCCAGTGACTATGAGCTTTCTTCTGTGTCAGGGTGAACTCAAAGCAGTCATTGCCTTTGGGAAATAAAACAGGGGGATAATGTGGCAGATGGCAGGATGGTTTGGTATTTTGTGTTCAGGGTTGTTTTTTTATTTATTCAGAGACCATTAACTACACAATTACAGTAGATTCCATTTGGTAAGGGGCATCAGACAGTGATTGTTCTGTGTAGGTGCTTTTTTTCTGCTCCTGAGGTTAACAGAATTAGATTTACATTCTCAAGAGCCGTTAGAACCTAATAGCCCCTGACATACAGAATTACCACCATAAATTATGCATGTCTGACTTCTGCAATCTTTTATTTTAATGAAGTTTTATTTCAGACAGTAACTGCTCCTTGCCTGCCCTTGTTTGCTGTAGATTCCTGTGTAATTTGCACAGCAGATGCAGCCTGGCTTGAAACCATGTTCATCTCTGGCTGCTGATCTGAGAACTCACCCAGTGTTCTCAAGTGCTATAGGACCTTGACCTATAAATAGTCTTGTAAGTTCTTCAGTGCTGTTCTGTGACTCAGCAGCTACAAAGCAGATGTGCGCCACTGCTCCCAGAGCCCTAAGATCTAAACACAGACATTTCTCAGATCCGCAGGTTTCTTTCAGATGAGATTTGCTGTTTTCATAACATGAACACTTTTCTCCATCATTCAGGAGACATTTTTCAGACAAACCTGGTTTTCTAGCTTTTGCAGTTCTTTAAAAGTTACTGTTTCTACTTTCTCTCGGAAGCCAAAAGCTCCTTGACTTCAGTGCAGCAGTAATATTAGGCCAATCAATGGGCTTATGATGGTTGTAAGAAGGGAGCGTGCTCCTGAACAGTGAATCAGCCTCAGCATTACAGAATAGTGGCACACTGCTCTGCTGGACTTTCCTTCTTGGTACAGAATACATGTATTTCCTCGCTAATTCTCTATTTTTGCTAACTAGTGATGGGTCCAATTTTAATAAGACCCCTAAGAATGCTCTGCTCAGCCAGCCCTTGTGTACGCTTGGGTTGGATTTGTAGGAGTGCTGTGCCACCTGCAGCTGCTCAGTGTGTCCTTTCTGAACATCTCTCGTATGAAGTGTCTAGCCTTGGACGTGCTCTTAGAAAGTACTGTACATCAGAAGGTATTTACACCTAACGAGGGAGAATTCAGAGCACTGTGATGCTCTGCCATCAGTCTGTTATGAGAAACCTGAGCAGAGTAGGTCTCATTTCAGTTAAAGAGATGAAATAACTGGAACAATGAGCGACTGCTCGGTGAGAAGAGACTAAGAGTCAGCCTTCTGGTGGTAGAGCATCCGCTCCGAGGAAGACAAATTAATGCTGTTTGAACAGATAAACTCATCTCAGTGCACAGGCATCTGCCTCACAGGGCCAGCGGGGGAGATGCTGGTGCTCAGCGGGAGCAGATCCGGTGCTGAAGGCAAGGAGTGCTGCAGGATCGGGCTGGCATTTGGCATATAAAGGAGGGGAAGGACCCCTGCAGTCGGATGTTCCCATTAACACTACTCGGTGTGCTTCTCCATGTGAATTCCTTTGCGACGTTATCTGTATGTATTCACAGCTGGTACATATTTCTTGTTTTTTCTGCCTCTGCCCTGTAGCTGGAGAGCAGCCATTAGCTAAACTGCTTTTACTAATTATTCAATAATTTATTGTAATTTTTTTAAAGTACAAATACTACTTGTGATTTTACACTGTCTGTCTGTCTGTCATGTACTCAATAAACGAACCAGAACCACCAGGCCACCTCGGCTGCCTTTTATTTCTCTGAGCTCAGCAACGACTGCATGTTCTCTGCCACAGCAGGTAGCTGCAAGTGCTAGATTGCCGTAACTGGCGTCAGGCCACTTTATTTTTTCTTATTTGTATTATTAGTACTGATTATTTTTAACATTTTTGTTGTTATTACGTATGCTTAGTTACCCTTACCTATAAGCATACACCTTATTAATAAACACAGCACTGCAAAGCTCTGTTCAGCGGCTTGCAACCAGTCTTCACTTGTGAAGACGGCTGGGATCGAACTGAGGGTTCGGAAGGGGGTGGGTTGGTTGGTTCGGAAGGGGGTGGGTTGGTTTTGGAGGCGGCACGCTGAGCAGCACGGCGCCATCGCCCCGGCGGGGCATAGAGGCTGGGGGCGGGGCTTAGAGGGCGGAGCCGGGGGATTGGCTGGCGGCGAGGTCACGTGAGCGGAAGGCGCGAGTTGCCATGGCGAGGGCGGGATGGCGGCGCCCTGTTGGGTGCTGCGGTGCTGCTCATGCCGCCGCTTCCAGGCGCAGCAGGTGGGGTGCGGGCCGATGGGCCGGGAGCGCGCTGCGGGTCGCGTCTGATTCCCTCTGCTCCTCCTAGGCCAAGCGGAGCGGGAAGTGGAGCTGCTGCGTGTGCGGGCAGCGGCAGGCCCTGCAGAAGGTGAGGGGCCGGAAGGGCCGGGCAGCCTGTGGTGGGACGGGGGAGCCGAGTGGTGGCAGGGGCGCTGTGCGCTGTGCAGCCCGGCGCGGCGGGCGGTTCGGGCTGAGGGGCGGCGTCACGTCGCGCTGTTCCCTGCTGGGCGCTCCCTGCCGCTGTGTTACTTCCGCAGGTCTACGGGCAGGGCTCCGGCCGGGACTGCAGGCTGCACGTCCAGAAGCTGAACTTGCTGCAGGGTGAGGCAGAGGAGGCCGCTGCCCGCACGGCTCGGTAGGGGCTCGTAGGGCTGTTGGGCTGCCCTGTGATAAAGCCAAACTGTGTCACCTCTCCGTTACACACCGCTGGATTGAGCGTCTTGGCATACTGCTTTGAACGAGGGCTTCTTTCAGATAAGATTATAGGTCGTTATTATGTTGGTTAGGCCTTTACCTGTTAAAATGTGCAGAATAGTTTTGATTTGTTTAGTTAACCTCTTTTATTGACAGAAATGCATTAGTGCAAACGTTTGGGTGTAATTCCTCTTGGGCTGGAAAATCTGAGTGAGGCTTTCCTGTTTATTTCACCCCAGAGTCTGCTTATTAATTGCCTAATTGTGAACTGAGCTTGAACTTGTAGAGCTTCCTCTGCACTCACGGTTATTTTCAGAGATGAGTCAGAGGCAGTTAGATAACTTTGTTGTGTAATGCAGTGCTTCAGGGTTAAGTTTTGGGAGGAAAACTCAGTGTTTGTTCACCTTATTAAAAAAAAATAGTTGCTATTCCCAAACATTATGAAATAAATTCCCTGTTTCCTTGCTTGCTTTGGGCATAATCAGTGATTTTAAGCTGTCATCCCAAAAGATACGCTGTTCTATCCCTAATTATGATCAATTAAAAATTGTCAGTGCCTGGCTTTAAATCAGAGCCATTACTCTATTTGTATGTACTGGAAACCCCCAGTACAATATAAACAGACTATTTGCACACTGGATTAGGAACTCCAACTTAAACATCTGTTTTAGGTACAGAGAAGAATGTGAAAACGACAACAGAAATGCAGCAGTCCTCTGTGAGAACAGTTTGGTACAGCAGGTGAGATACCTACAAAGCTGGAGTAAATACTTACCCATGCTGACCCGGGGAATCAAAGTGAAACCAGTGATCCCTTTATATTAAGACAGCTGAGATGATAGTGTATATACAAGCTTCAGGAGAGAGGCAGAATGTGATGCATTCAGAAACTCTTTGCACTTCCTGGATACTGAACCTGGGAACAAGATAGAGGAACATGTCCTAAAGTGACTTGTCACTGGAAGCATTCAGTACAAATGTGACAATGCCAGGATTGAGAACCTTGTATTTTGCTGTTTTCAGTAATTCTCTGATGTTGTAGGGGGAAAGGACAGAAGTCAGTCGCTGGAGTAAGTATCTGGACAAGGGCAGTGAAGATCAAGAAGAGGAGGAAGAGGAAGCAAGTACAGAAAGGCAACAGTTCTGTTCCTGGAGGAAGAATGCTGTGGAAGAACGAAGGTACGGTGATACAGGCTGGCATTTCGGAAGACGACAGAAAGAACTTTTTTTGTATTCCTACCTTTAAGTGATGATCATTTGTTAGAGGGTTATGGGAGGTATTTTATCATTATAGCTGAATGAAGTACAGGCTATAATGAACAGCGTGGCTTGAATTCTATTGCTAGGAGTTTGCTTTTCATGAGCATTTATGGTGACTTGTTTGTGATAAAAATGACAGTGGAGTTAATCAGGCACCTTTCTGTGCGGTTCTTTTGATCAGGAAAATGCAGGAGAGTTTCCTCTACAATGATGAGAACTCAGAGGAAGATGGTGCTTTCCAGCTTGCCTACCAAGCCAAAAAGGTTAGAACCTCTTGAGTATTTTTAGCTGTAGAAAACTGAAACAAAACAGTGTTTTCCTGGCTTCTTTTATGTCATTGTAACTTTGAAGTTTTACACGTCTTCCTCTGTTCTTCTATTGAGTGAACAGGGAGAAGCAGCAAATCATATCATGACTTTTTCTCTGAAGGGTTTTAGTCAGGTATAAGCAAATGTCATCTGGTGTAAGGTGAAAGTGGTCAAGCCAGATTCCTCTATCAGTGCAACTGTTGTCAGTTCTGTTTTGCTGTTGTTGAGCAGCAACACCTTGCATAAGACACAGCTATTGGATTACTGTGATTATCTGCCCTGCTAGTTAAATTGGCTCGAGTTTTCGCAGCCCAGGGTTCATAGATCCACTCAGAGCGTCAGCTTCAGCTCTGCTTCAGATTGCTGGTGAAAACTTAAGTGTATTTGAAGGACAGGAGTGCTCTTTCTTTGCCTGTTTCTTGGTACATGTGCTGCATTTACAACCAAGCTCTTTCTTTTTCTTCTTACAGCACAAGAGATGTTCAACAGCAGTGCCTGATGGAGATGACATTTCTGCAGACAGTAGTGTCTCTGAGTCCACAGTGCCACAACAGAACAACCAACCCCCAGCTGCTTGTACCAAACCCTCCAAGTGGGAAAAGTATCTCTCCTGTTCTAACAACTGCAGTGAAAATGCTGTTATGGCCACCTTGTCACCACAGGATGGCAGTGGAAGGTTGAGACCACACAGCACCACTGCTGTAAGTAAGGCCAATACACATTTGGAACAGGCTCAAAGTGCTCTACCTCTAGGTACAGATTTTGAATCTAAGAAGTGCATTGCTAACACTGAGCAACTTGCCTTAAAACTGCCTGGCAGCATGCTGCCCAGAATCAGTTGTTCAGGTGAGAATGATGCATTGGCCAAGAAGCCTCAAAGTCAGATGCTATGGGCTGGAGCTGGTGACTTCAACACTGGTAGCAGACCTCCTGCACCCACCCTTGTGAGGCCCAAGCCTCACACTACTTCTTGTGAACGCCTCTTCTGCACAGGTGATGACTTTAATGATGATTTCTGAAAAACTTGAGCATCTTCACCATTGCTTTTCTGTCTTTCTGTTGTGGGTTTGGCTTGTATACAGAACTGAAGCAAGATTTTGAAGTGAAGGTGGCTTTAAGAGCACTATTAAAGAAGTTGCTTAAAGGCTATCTATCTAACTGTTTTGTTGGAAAAGACTGATCTAAGAAGTAAGTGCTAGACTTGCACAGCGGTGTCTAGCAAGCATATTAGAAGTAAGAATGGAAGTAGGGAGGGAGCAGAGATGCATCCAAGGCTTTAAGGATATCTGACTGGTACAGTTAAGTTCTGTGATTAATCCCCCACTATAAACTGCAACTCTTTTTTCCTTGTTCTACCTCTTTGTTTACATCACCCATAGCAACTCTTTCTTTCAAAGCTACTGTGCAGGCTTCAGAGCCAAGCATTTGATTTCTCTTCACAAATGAATAGCCCTAAGGGTCTGCTCAAAGCCCAAGTTATGGGCAAGAAACAGACTGCCACAGTGCTGGGCTGTCTCTTATACTGGGAGTCAGCTGACATGGAAATCGTGTGTTCTTGGCCTGGAGCTTCCATCTTATAATCAAGTTCCAGTTAACAGAGTAGAACAGTTATGATAATTAAACACCCACAAACTCATCACCAGTGAAAGAGTGGCAGTATTTATTTCTTCCTCCACACTACAAGCACTTAGGAACATGAAACAGAAATCTAACAGAAGATGCATTTGCTAGAGTTAACTGTACCACATTGTTTTCTTTCAGTTAGAAGGAAACTAGTTTCTGTTACACAGACTACTACTACAAGTTGGGAGGCTGCTTGGAATACTGGATGGCATCTAATGCTGCCCCGATGTCACAGTTCTTTGTCTGCAGGAGTCGAGTGAGCCATCCACCCTCATCAGAGAAGCCCATAGAGAGCATCTGGGACAGGGACTCAATCAAGCGAGGGTCTGCTTCTGTTAAGAGAATGACAGTTCGAAGTTAAAATGCTTCGCATTAATAGCAAACCAGACAAGGCTGTGGTATCACATGGTAGGCTGGCACTAATCCTAGCAGATCTAGCATAGCTGACAAGCATTGGAAGACACTCTCCTCTGTATCCTATGAGGCAGACATTTTGAGGTACAGCATATGTAACCTGCTAAGGAAACAGCTGAGTTAAATCTGTCTGTCCTTGCTGTAAACCTCAGTGCTGGTGGTTTCAGTTAAGTGACCTGGCATACTTTTAACTAGCTCTTGCCAGAAAAGTGTCTTAAGTCACAGGATGTACTGTCTACAGCCTGCATTAAAAGGTTCTCAAAGAGTACACAGCAAGGACACTTTTAGGAGGTTTAGGAGACCACCTTTTTCATGCTGCTCAAATGGCATGTTAGTACCAGTTTAATACTTGCTGCCCCCATTCAAGCAGAGAACATGCCTGTTCCTAACAGCATGCAGAGTGCTTCCAGAGCACAAGTTACAATTTAATTTGTCCATATGTGAGCTTGGTTCCTAAGCAGGTTTGCTTATACTGGGCAAGTTGGCAATAGTTGAGAGCAACTCAGATGAAACCTGCATGCATTCTCATACCTGGTGGGAGATGTGGGTAGAGTGCAGCCTCTCTCAGCCCTGTAGGTCCTGCCTGGGGAGCTTCCTGAGCTACATCTAAGGAGCTGGGATCATCTGTCTCTGGCATTTGTAGTGACTGCAGTTCACCTGTGGAAGGATCCACTTCTTTGGAAGATAAGTGGGTCCAGTCCTCATCACCCCCTGATGAACTGCTTGACTCACTGTGTTCCTGAAATGGAAAGAAAGGAGGTCCAAGTGCTGCAGTGCTTTCCAGGTAGGATGCATGCTTTTACTAGTTGTGAAAGTAATTCTTCCTATTAAAAGCAGCAAGTCCACCTTTGCTGTAAACCAGTAAAGCAAAGGTGCCACATTTTATCTATCTGCTAACAACTGAATCATCAATCTCACAACACATACTGAATTACTTCCTTTTCAGTAAAGCCTCAGCAACCATATTAAATTGAGTGTTTCTTGTACCTGGGACTGGAGGCTGCCATCTTCCATTTGTGTGGGCACAGGATCTATCACCATGTCTTGTATCTGCTCTGCAACATTGCTCACTACTGTAGCAGAATCTGTGCTGTTCCAGTATGGTTTGGTCTGACTGTTCTGGTTAAGAGTACTGCTGCTTGACTCAGCATTGTTACTCTCTTGATTAGGGGAAGCAGGAGTCACTTTGCTTCTCTGTCCTCCATGTTCCACATCAATATCAACTTCAATACCTAGGAACATATTTGAGACCAAGAAAGAACACATTAGATTTTTTGAAAGCACAGTTCTAAGAAAAAGCATACATTAATCCTGGACTGAATGATGTAGGATGACTGTAATCCTACAGTTTTCCATATAATATGTATGAATTCAAGTGTGAAGTGTTCTTTTAGTAAGCTTTATGCACCAATTAGTCATCCTCCACTAAATAGACAGGCCATATGTTTAGAGGGTCAAGGCAGAACTTAAGTATGCCTGCCTAAGCAAACTATCACTGTAACATGATTTTAAATCATTGGTGACTTGGGGTTATATAATTAATCCCTTCCTCAGCTCCTTACAAAGGACTCTGAAAAGGTACTGAATGGATGGCCTATACCCAAACAATTTTAGTACACGATAATTTAAGGCTTTGAGGCTTAGTAGCACAAAGTGGTTCTGGTACCAACCACAACGGCTGGCTGCTGCTCCTGGTGGGAGCAAAGCCAGTCTCAGGGATGGGGGTGACACACTGTAAATCACTTACCCAGGGGGCTCAGAAAAGCTGCCACACTCTCCCCAACATTCTTTAAGAAGGTGACATTGGGGTCCTGGGGCTGGCTGTTAGTAGAAGCTTCTAGAAGAACAATTTGTGTTAGTACACACAGCAGCCCACAGGGAAAGAGCACATCCCCAGGAATTCTTGGTGCTCGTTTTGTGTCAGTCATCTGCACAGCACAAAGGCAGCAGAGAGACTAAAACTACCTTTGGAACAGAAGACCAGTGGCATTAGCATTGTTAAGGCTCATCAGCCATGCTGAAAGGCACATCTAAGAGCAGAGCAGTGACATGCTTGACCTAATAGCTCTGCTTGGTCTGGTTCCAAATAGTCCTTCCGTAGACTCATATATTGCATGGCCACAAGACACACCATAAGTAAAGAGTCTTGAAAGGGGCTAATTATTTCACACAAATTAGATTAGTTCCCATGTCTGTTTTCCCACCCAGATTCCACACTGTGCTGTGAAGTCCCAGCTACTCTAGCTCCTTCACCACTGCTCTCCTTTACCAGACCATCTCCTCTTACCTCCAGCAGCAGGTGGACTGGGGGCAGCAGCACTGGCTTGGGCTTGTTCCGAGTTCTGGCATGGAGCTGCAGGTCCAGGATACCCCCAGCAGTGCATCCAGGGGAAGGGCGGAACACCATGCCGCATCTTACGGAGCCAGCGTCCTCTGGGATACCACTGCAAAAGGTAACATTCGTGAGGCCAAGTGAAACTTAAAGCTTACACCTGGGCAGCATCCCATTCGTTGGTTCCGCTCCCTAAGCTTTGCTCACCTCAAATGGATTCAGCAGCGGGCTTTGAAACATCACCATGTTGTGCTCCTTGTGGATGCCTTTCCCCTCGCAGGTGCTGCACAGGTCGTAGTCTGGGCAGACGGTGCACTTGAAGCGAGCACCCACCACCGGCCCCTCGCAGCCGTCGCAGATGACATTGGGGTGCACCATGTCACGGGGAGGCTCCTGGCTGCACTGCGAGCGATGTTCACGCCTGCACTCCTTTTTCTCTATTAAGGAAAGGGAACTTTGCATCAAGAACGAGGGTACTATTTAAAGGCTGGAAATCGGGCAGAGGAGAAGGAAACACAAACAGCCCTTGTCACAGCAGTATTGACTTACTAGGTCAGTTTATTTTTACACTGGCTGCCAAACACAAGCTGGGGGCACACGAGAACACTGACCAAGCGCAAAGGGGTGTTACAAGGATACCTGCTCCTCAAACAGCACACCTTATCCCTAGCATTCTGCATGTCTGTTTTAGATTAGCGCTGCACCACCCTGCTTCCTACCTCGTGAAGTGCTGTGAGAATGGAACACTTCTCGAGAGAGGACTCAGCAGTGCCAGGAGACACAGCAGATGAGAACTGAGACAAGAAGGGTGGCTTACATGACTCACTGCATGGACTGCAGATAAAGCTTTGCAGGTATCCAAGTGAACAGAAGGGACTGGGGAACGATGTGCTTAGGAATAAGCTGGATTTGGGGCTCCTTAGCATGTCATGGCACCTGCTGGCAGTACAGTGGGGGGTTCACAGGACCAGCCCAAACACAGCAGCTCTCAATGTGCCAACTGGAGCCAGGAGGAAGCCCTGGGCAGGATGGGTTTGTGCCCTGTCCTTACCTTGCCCTTCATTTAACCTCCCTGAGCTGTGGCGTGAGGATGAGGGACAGGAAGGGATTTTCCCAGTCTCGGAGCCCAGCCAGCAGCACATCGAGCCAAAGCACTCAGTGCCACCGGGGCTGCGGGGCGTTACCTCTGATGTACACGCGGAAGACCCCGTCCTGCACATAAGGCATGGCCATATCCAGCTCCTCGTCGGTGGAGAACGCGATCAGGTCCCCGTCTTCATCTGGGATAGGGCAGAGGACACCGTCAGGCGCTCTGCCCACGGAGCAGAGGGACACCGCGCCGCCAGGCCCGCACCCACCTCCCGGCCAAGGCGCTCCCGGCGACCCCGACGCACGGGGGGAGCCCCCCGCCCCGCTCACCCTTATAGTGCATGCGGAACGCGGGCGGCGGCCCGGCCCGCAGCAGCCCCTGGAAGAGCTCGGCGACGCGGTCGTGGACGGCCTGATAGCGGACGGGCGGCATCAGGGAGAAGCGGCGGATCTCGCGGGTCGCATCTTCCTTGCCCAGCAGGTAGGCTTTCACCGTCAGCGCCGCCATGGCTGTGGCGCAGCAGGAATTGCCGGCGGGACGCGGAACTGCGATACGCGCTGCAGGGCGGGCGACGCGGGGCGGGCGTGGTGCTGCGAGACCGGCTCTTATAGCGCCGCGTGCGGGCCGGGCGGAGCGAGTTTGGCCACGCCCCCAGCCTCAGGCCACGCCCCCTAACACCAAGCCACGCCC